GGGGGGGGGTTAAGCATAATATGACCAAAACAAGGTACTCAATAAAAGCATAGAAATTATGCAGCATTTATTAAATATCATACAACCACCTAAAAAGGTATAACTAGTGGCTGGCAATAATGTCACCTTATAAATCAAAAACACTTCTTCACTACGGTCACACAAAGTTAACTGATGCAGGAAGAACATTCATTTGCACAACGGTCAGGAACAATTATAGAAAGAAGATTCAGGTCTCAACATATTGGCATATTATTACATTCTGGAAAAGGTTCTTTTCAAGTATGCAAGATCAAGGTTGAGCAACAACACATTATTTAGAATCTAAACAGGGATCTGGCCAAAATATTGTATAAGTCGAAGGTTGTTTTGCCAATTCATGTCTATCACAATCTCTCCTGAACAGAAAGAAGGATATATATATATATATATATATATATGTATATATATATATATATATATATATATGCACCAAAATGGGAAATAATGGTTGATAAATGTAATTGCAATTTTGATGAGAATTGTTTGTGAGAATAGAATAATCGAAAGGCTGTCCAGATTATTATGCTTATGCTGTCAAGTTCAGAGTTATGGCAGAATATTGATTATATGTTAAGAAAAAAGCAACATATGGTTCTAGAATACGGTTATTATTGTTGTCAATGTAGTATGTGTGTACAAACATATTAGATCCAGAGTTGTTAATGCAGAAACAGAAGTTCAAAACAATTTTTTGTTTCAGATTTGTTATACATTCCAGATTTCGACAACAATTTTGTATTTACATATTTCAATCAAAGATGATTGCGCAATCATGTTAATCTAAAAATCTGGAGACATTCATCCAAATTTGATTTCGAGTACAAACAGAGTTTGGTTTCATTCGACAGCAACTCAGGATTTTAATTATTGACAGTAGTCTTATGTTGCCAGACTTAAGGTTTTCAAAGTTAGACTTAAGGCTCTTCAGAATTTTGATCATGATTCAAGAGTTATACCTAGTTACGATCAAGCTGTAGAATTCTGGTGGAAGGTATTCAAAGTTATACTTAGTTGTAATATTGTATAAGTCGAAGGTTGTTCATGTCTAACACAGTCTCTCCTGAACAGAAAGAAGGATATATATATATATATATATATATATATATGCACCCAAATGGGAAATAATGGTTGATAAATGTAATACTATCATAAAGTAGGATTTTTCTCGACTATTGTAATAATGGTTGAACCAGTAGAGGGAATACAAACAGACATGTGTGAGAAACTAAAGAGGAATTACAATTTTCTGGTAGGAATAAAAAGAGAAAAACAAGAACATACCTATAGGAAGACTGGAAAAAGGCGGAACGCAAAAGCGGAGCTGCAAGGAAACAGATGAAAACGACGATTGAAAACTCAAAAGCAAAAACCTAAAAACAAAAGCAAAACCTAAAAACAAAACTCAAACAGTTCATACCTGAAAGCGACGATTGAAAACGACGAAGGCGATTGAAAACAGCGAAGAAACGACCTGCAAGGAAACATATGAAAATGGAGAGCGAAAACCCAAAACCCAAAAGCAAAACCTAAAAACAAAACTCAAACAGTTCATACCTGAAAGCGACGATTGAAACGACGAAAGCGATTGAAAACAGCGAAGGCGATTGGAAGCGACGAAGGCGATTGTGAAGCGATTGAGGAACGATTCGGCGGTGGGAACGATTCGACGATGGACAACTCTTAAAGGGAACATCTTGGGGAGTGAAGCGTCGTCTCGGGAGCTGATAAGGGAGGAGTGTTCTTGGGGGAGGGGAGCCGGGTAAATTGAAGAGACATATTGGGGGAAGGGAAGGGAGGCGTGTGAAATAAGTTTAAGGGTATTTTCGGTATTTCAAAAGTTAAGACTTTAAGACTTTGATCAAATTTGTTTAATAAGGTAGTATAGATTAGTGATGTAATTTAGTTCATGGTTATTTAGTTTGCACAATTTTATGTAATAAATGATAATTTTATTTTTTATTTGATGAATGGTAATTTAAATATTTGACATATTGAATGGTAATTTTTAATTTTAAAGAGAAATGTCAGAATCCAAGAAATTTACATTTCACTATATATATATATATATATATATATATATATATAATTCAAATTTTCACCGAAACACAAAAACTAAACTAAGAGATTGTTTGACAATTGCTGAATGGTTTGGTGCAAGATGATTAAGTGGCCAGAATGATTAAAAGGCTCTCATGATATAGGCAAAAATGAAATATAATTGTTTGATAATTGTGTACAATGAAATTAAGGTTCTTAATGGTTAAGGGAGATTCATGATACAAAATCATTCAGATGATTTTAAAACCATTAAAAGACAGATTTTTTTTGCCATAAGATCCACCTCTTAATAATTCAGATATTACCTATTAATGAAACTATTAAAAAGTAAACAAACAACCCCATATTCAAGAATTGAATTAATCATGCCAATTCCTTCAAATTACGGTATATTTCAACCAAGATCCATGGGACATGAGGATTTGCATAAATGACCCCTATGGTTTGAGATATTTACTAAACGATTCATTTGGCTCTACTTATCTGCCACTCGGGTGCTAGGGCATCAAATACTAGTCACACCCACTGCCACCACTCTACCCTCTCGTCGTTTCTCATTGATCACATCGCCAGCATTCAACGGCCGTCGATACGACACAAGTCTCTCTCGTACTGTCTTAAACGAACCTACGACTTCCTCCTCATTATCATCAAGGTTTGATTCTTCGGTTGCCAAAACCCTAGGGTTTGGTTCAATCGATCTGGTTCTCTTACTATTAGATTTTCTTTTGGGGTTTTCTGGCCAGCAATGATTTCCCCTTTCATGTTACTTCAGTAGGTGGTTGTTATGTTAAGTTTTTATATATCTAAAGTAATGGAAGATGTTCACTCGCTGATCGTCCATCGCGATCAATATATTTCTTCTTTACTGCCGAAATTTGATGGTTTTATTTTATCGTTTCGTTCAGTTTCTTGGTTATGTGAGATAAAATGGCTCCCTGTTTATAATCTTCTTCGACTAAATTTACCAGAGCATTTTCGGTGGTTGCATCGAGTTTTGGCGTGTTCGAAAGAAATGAAACTCTAAACATAAAAAAAGTAATATATCCTAGACAGCAGAAAATCGTTATTTATTAGGTGCAATTTATGTCTATTTTGCTACATAGAGCAGCCAAGATTGTGATAGTTTGATTTCCTTGGGTTTTTGATGATCAATTTGTGATGCCATATTATTTTACAAGCATATTAGAAGATATAATTTTGACTTACCATTGGTCATGTTTTAGGGTAATGTGATATGTTTGTGTATGATCCAGTATGACTGTATGAGAGTTGGTTGCTGTCATTTAAGATGGATGCGCAGGGTCTAAAACTTGATGATGTGCTAGCTTGTCCATACATTACCATAAAGAATCTGCAATTTGTTACTGTCTGAAGAAAGTATTTAAATACACAAGCTAAAGATAACATGGGATGTTGCTTCTAGTATATGGTTAACGAGTATATAATCACCTAAAACATGTTACATGGTATTCGATGGGAGAGAGGAGGGAAAGCATCCATGCATATATAAATACAAATTGCACACACACATTTGCTAAGAGAGAGTGATAGTCATAGAGATGGAGAGATCGCTGTGGGAGGAAGAAAATGGTAGTTGGTGAGTAGTCAGTTAGGCTATGGCAGTGTAACTAAAGCAGATCTACATGTGTGCCTCGGTATATGATTAGGTGTGGGTGGTTCTTCTGTTGCTTGAAAGGAGGCGCAAAACATTACTGTGGCACAAAGCTTATAAGTGAACAATTTTGGTTATTTTATTGGGACGATATAAAAGATTATTTGAGATGATCGAGTATTTTCCAACTATAATAACATTATCTTGTAAATAAATAAATTGATCTCTGCACTAGCCTTTTTACTTTTTGAAACTCCTATGCTATTTTATGCCATTTCCTGATCCATCTTTTATGGGCTATTTGTTTGATATCTTATTTTAAATATCAGAGAATCATTATTGTTGATTCACAATCATCTGCTCATTGTTACACCTGTGGTGAATATATTTTATTCTTGATGTCTCAAGAATCGAAGAGTATATATTTTGGAAATTTAATTAACTTTGTATACCCACTGGGACTAATCTTGCTCTCACGTGTTTTTTAGTTTATTTTATTGCTCATTGGGTTGGGTAAAATTTTGAATTGAATCATTCTTGTTTGGAAGCTTAAAAATAGACCTTATAACGCACACCTTAGTGTCTTGTTTCATGTCTAAGGGTTGCAAAACCTATGCAAAAATGCTACACCTTTCACCAGACGTCACTTGGTTCAACTGTGTGAAGTAGATCATGTTTTATACAAGTAGTTGTTGTGGTTTGCACTTGTGAATGTACATCATGTTAAATGTGCATATTCCACAAGGAATGGTGTCCATCATTTTGAATTGAATTATTGTGGTTTTCTAATATATGAGGTTTGATGTGCAAAAAATTGTTGCATGTACTTCTATATTAATTTTGATTGGGAATGGGATGATATACAAATGTGCATATTCCACAGGGAAGGGTGGGCTTTTTCCCTTATTTGTTATAACCTTTTTTTCTTAGATAAAGAGTCGTGTTTGCCTGTTTGTTATAACATTGTCCTCATGAATAGTTGGAAGTATGATTTTGAGGTTTGCACTGTTGTTGCTTTCTTTAGTCTTACTCTTTTATTTTATTTGTTGATGTGGTATTAACTGATTTTGTAAGTTACTCATTTTGTAGAGAAGACGATCCATTATACAGCAATCTGATCAATTAATTTTTTCGTGCAGCTTAAAGTGCTCTTTTTCAGGTTTGCGTCGATATACCGTGAATGCCTGAGAGAGTAATCTGACGCAACATGGGTTTTGACAATGAGTGTATAATAAACATCCAATCTCTTGCTGGCGAGTACTTTTGTCCTGTTTGTCGAACCCTTGTGTATCCACATGAGGCACTCCAGACACAGTGTACTCATCTATACTGCAAACCTTGTCTGGCATATGTTGTAAGCAGTACTCAGGCTTGCCCATATGATGGATACCTGGTAACCGAAGCTGGTTCAAAGGTAAATTTTTCCTTATTATTCTTGTATTTTGGTAAATTGGTTACTTGTTTTATTACTATTTATTTATGTTAAATTCTTCTTTCAGCCACTCATGGAATCCAACAAGGCTCTGGCAGAAACCATTGGGAAAACCACTGTACATTGCCTCTATCACAGGAGCGGGTGCATGTGGCAAGGTCCTTTATCTGATTGCACGACTCACTGTTCGGGATGTGCCTTTGGCAATTCTCCAGTTGTATGCAACCGATGTGGAATACAAATTGTGCATCGTCAAGTGCAGGAGCATGCTCAGACCTGTAATGTTAATGTAATGAGACATTCTTTTTAGTTTTTAAGCATAAGATCCCGTTTTTTGGTCATCGTAACTTGTGTTGATGTGTATTCTTTGGTATTGTTTGCAACAGGGTACAAATACTCAACCACAGCAAGGGTCTGAGACTGCACAGGATCCTGCAGTATCTGGAGCTGCTGTGTCCATTGATCAAACCAAGACTGCTAATCAAGTAGCAGCACCAGCTTCCCAGCCACAGGCATCTCATACTGCTACCGCACCGGCTTCTGCTCAGAATCCCAATCAGCCAGCAACAGCAAATCCTGTTCCCCAAGCCATGCCTGCAAATGCTGTTCCAACACCTGAACAGTGGTATCAGCAACAGTATCAGCAATATTACCAACAGTATCCTGGATATGATCCATACCAGCAGGCTTATCAACAATACTACCCGTATCAACAGCAGCCTGCTCAGCAATTCCAGCAGCCACCTCTACAGGTACAGGGGCAGGCACAAAACCAGGTTCAGGCCCAGCCTCAGCCTCAGCCTCAGCCTCTGCCTCAACCACAACTTCAGCAGCAAATGCAAACCCCTATGCAACTTCAACCACAAGTGCAACCACAGCCAGTTCAGCCCCAGGCCCAAAACTATCCTCTGACACAAGCCCAGGGCCATAGTCAACCACAACCCCAGACACACTCTCAAGCCCAGCCACAAATTCCATCCAACGGACAACCTCAACCTCTATATCCTCAGGCTGTGGTGGTTGGCTCAAATCAAAGCCAGGGTCAAGTGAATCCACCACAGCAAGCTCACCCAGGAGGTCAGCCACATGTGCCAATTCAGTCACAGGTACAGCCCCTTGCCCGTGGCCACATGCCTCCACAGCCATACTCACAAGCCCAGCCACATCCGGTTCAAAATCATGCTCAACCACATATGCAAGTGCCTCAATATCAGCAACCTCATCCACAGATGCATCATCCTCAGCTTCCTCAGGTGCACCCTCATTCTCAAACACAATCGCAACCTCAACCTCACCCACAAGCGCATCCACATTTCCAACCACATCCTCAGCCTCAATCCCAACCTATTAATGCTCAGCATCCTCCAGTCCAATCTATGGGTGGTCATCCCTCTTATCCCTCACAGCCTCACCAGCAAATCCAGCATGCCCCACCACAGCAGCATCCTATGCAACTGCAGCCATCAACTGGGTCTTTACCGCCAGGTCAAATGCCTGTTCAGTTCCCACAACCACCTCCTCATATGCGTCCTACTCAACCTCCTCATATGTTGCCTTCACAAGGCCAAACTCCAGGAATCCCACCCATACAACAACACATCCATCCTCATAATCAGCCTGGCTTACCAGCTCATCAGCGTCCTGCTGTGCCTCCGGTTCAGCAACCAATGCCTCAGCAATACGTGCAGCAGCCTCAAGTATTTGCAGGACAAGCATCAGGAGGTCAGCCACACCAAGCTGGTCCTTTTGCACAGCAGCATTCTCAGGTACGTCCACAGGGTCCACCTCAGCCAATGCAGCAACCTCTTGGATTTGTTCAACCGCAGCAGGGTACGGCATTGCCACATGGCATGCCACCTCATTCATCTCAAAGCTACGGGGGAAGACCCACTATGTTGAATCAGGGAAGTCAGTCACAGCATTTCCCTCAATCTTCTGGTGCAGCAGGTATTGCACCACATGCCAGACCACCACAATTTGGCCCGAGCCAGCCTTCTGTAAATCAGAGTAATGTAAACATGACCAGCCAACCACATGTATATTCAGAGCAGCACCTTAACCAATATATGCCACCTTTGGGTGGTGCAATGGTGGACAGAAAAGGTGATCAAACATTTGAAAGAAGGGCTGAACAACAAGAAGATAAATCACCATCCCTGAAGAAGTCCGAGCCAGTGGCTAATGATTTTGGTCCTAATTTCAATGAAGTAAAACCTGAAACCGGCATGAATGATGAACGTAAGCCTGGAGGTGGGAGTGAAGATGACCATAGGAAAGACGAAGCATTGAGCAAGGATGCTGTCTCTGAGTTGCATCAGGTCCAGGGGGTTCCAGGTGATTCTGTTACTGTGCAAAGAGTGAAAGTAGAGAGCAAGGATGGTGTTGTAGATCATTCTCCTGGTGGGAAGTTGAGTCACAATAAAGCAGAGGATGTGGGAGTTGCCACCATAGACTCCGTGAAACAAGGGGAGGCAAGTGTGAACTTTCAGGGTTCTTCTGAGGTTGATAATGGATCCCTTTCTGTTCCTCCTGGAAGTTCTCAGGGTCCTCTTAATGGTAGAGATCATGTCCAACAGGACAGAACCTTTAATCAATCCCAAACAACGCCTCAAGGTCAGTTTGGTGATGTGTCTGGTGGATTTCCGAGCAAGGGCACTGACCATTCTTCTCACACTGCTCTTACAGATCAGGGAAGATCTCCACACCCTCCTGTGCCATATGCTTTTTCTGGGCAGCAACAAAGACCTGCTGCACCTTCATTGTTACAGTCCGCTCCTCCTACTGGACAGACACTGGGGCAACCCCCAAGCCATATAAGGCCTCCTGGACATGGTTATTTGCCTCATGGCCCTCCTCCAGGACAACCTGAGCACTTCCAGCCACCCGGACCAAACCAACCTGGTCCCTTTCATCCTGAGTATCCAATGGGTGGACCTCCTGTTCCAGGTTCTGCATCTACCTTGGGAGTGGCTCCTAATAATTTCAGTAACAGCAGGGGCTATGAAGCACATTCTGCTGGATCTCATGGGCAATACAATCAAGGTCAGATCCCTCAGTCTTCACAAGCTAGGCCTTCCAGGATGTCTCAAGGTGAGCCATTGGGACCATCGCTCAGTTCTGCACCTCTGCCACATGGGCCCGATGGCCAAACTGTTCCACGTCATCCTGGTCCAATGGAAAATGATATGTACCAAAGCCAGAGGCCGCCTCATTTTGACAGCAGAAGACCTGATACCCATTTCCCTGGAAATTTAGACCGGGGGCCTTACGGGCAGCCTTTTGGTGTTGAATCAAATTCAATGAGAATGAATGGCGCACCCCTGCAAGGTCATGATTCGGCATCAGCACCTGTTTATCGTGATGAAAAATTTAGAACTCCTGCAGGGATGCATCCTGATAATTTTTCCATGGGACCATCTCGTCACCTTGAGCAAGGTGAGTTTATGGGAGCTCTCAAGCAGTTTCCTGGCCCCCCTCACTTGGGCAGCGAGGACTCTCCAAAGTTCGCGAATCATTCATCAAGGCCATTGGGTGGATATGGAATGGATGGACCATCAAGGTTTCTTGATAAAGACCCCCATGGATATGGCTATGATGCTGGGCAGAGGGTGGATCCTGGCACTGGAGGACCTCCTTCAGCATTTTTGCCCCCCTATCATTCTGCTGGTGGTTTGCATCCCAATGAGTCTGGTGGAAGGCCACTTCCTGCAAGTATGCATGATGAGAACAGAGGGAGGTTCGATAATAGTCGCCAGAATCCTGATTATCTTGCACCAATGCATGGTTTTGGTCGCCACCATATGGATCGTCTACCGCCCGGTAGTCCAGGAAATCCATCACGTTCATTTGGTATCCCACACAGCATCGATGTTGATGGTAGAGAGATGGAAAGGCATCCATTTGGTGAAAGATTCCCAATGGTGCCTCCGGGTCACATGCACAGAGGAGAGTTTGATGGCCCAGGAAAGCTGAGGAGTGGCGAATTGAGCCAAATGCAAAGGGGTGAACCTTTTGGCCTGAGGAATCTATCTGGTCATCCTCATGTGGGTGAGCCTGGTTTTGGCTCCTTCCAAGATTATGGTCGTTCAGGGGAATCAAATGGGCCTGGGGGATTCTCTCATCAACAGCCTTTCGGAGAGTCATTTGGTGCCAAGTCAACTCGTCCACATCTGGGCGAGCCAGGGTTTAGAAGTAGTTATTCGCGTCAAGGGTTCCCAAGTGATGGTGGATTTTATGCAGTAAGTATTTTATCCTTCTTATTCAGATGAATATCATATTACTCTCCAATGTGTTAAGTGTTTGTATTGGGTTTGTAGGGTGGGTCTGATTCATTTGATCAGTTAAGGAAAAGAAAGTCGTTCAGCATGGGTTGGTGTCGCATTTGCAAAATTGACTGTGAAAGCGTGGAAGGCCTGGACATACATGGTCAGACACGTGAGCATCAGAGGATGGCTATGGATATGGTTATTAGCATTAAGCAGAAGAGTGCTAAGAAACAAAAGTATGTTGAATTTTGGTTCTTTCCTTTAGTAACTGATAGTTCTTGTTGTGTAAACCATTAATTTTTCTCCATATTGTAGAACATCTAATGACCATTCTGCACGTGAGGAGGCAAGCAAGCTGAGAAATGCTGAGATTCATGCTCGTGTCATATAGATTAGGTGATGATTGTAGAAATGAGGAAGGATCAAAGCAATACCATCTTTGGTATCTTTACATTTAGCAATTGGTGACCCACTGTCAGATGCTCTCTCGGATGGTTTATGCTTCTTTTGTTTTTCAGGTTGCTGCTTTGTTATTCAAGATGGTTTTTCGGAACTGGGAGTTTCTTTGGAAGTTAGGTTGGTTTTGTTTCATGATCTTGAGGTTTGATGACTTTATGTTTAGTTGGTGTTTTGTTAGATAAGTGATTTCTTTATGAGCTTTTAGTATGATCTAGTACTTCTGTCTGAATTTCTGGTTTTTATTTATTAAGCTACATATGTATTATAGTTCGATGTGGCTATCATAAAAATTGGGAGAATTTACCATTGTGGACTAACAGGGACTAGGATAGCCCAACTCCTTTTATCCCTATATCGGGACTTATGGTAGCTGAGACAATTGCACTTTCTATTTAGTTATTGGTTCGAGCACTGTTAACAAGACATTCAAAGGTTCACGAATTATGTGCATTGAGCTTTGTAGGATCAGGTTTAGGTTGAAATAGATGAATGTCAATCAATTAAAACTACAAATTGTGAAAAAGGCATGCCGGCTTCATCTGTTTGCCCACATACTCATCTACTTGAGGTATTCATCACCAGTTATGGCTGCATGTTTATTCTGATATGATTTGTTGGTTGGTCAGTACCGTGATCGGATTAATGATCTGCAATTGTGCTATTGAATCTGTACAACATTGTTTCTACTACTTCACTATTGCTATGTTCAGTTTGGAAATTTTCCTCCAACTTTGTAATGAACAACCACACCTGTCATATGTTCCTTACACTCTCAAGGCATCTTCTGAGTTTTGAACTGGTCATGATGAAACATGTTGGACACTTACACATGGATGGTGATGAGGGAAGAGATGAATTGATTTATATTGAACTGCCAACTGCTTTAGGTCATATATACTAATTGCTGGTTGGTATGGGAACCTGTTGCCAATCCATCAGGGCACTTTAACCTGTATATGCTAGTTGTTAATATTGGTTTCAACTAGAAAAGGAAAGAAGTTACTGTTGTCAGTGTACTTACCAAAATGGCACAATGTTTTGGTGGCTTGGGCCTCAGAAATATGTTATGAAGGAAACATTAACTTAATCTATGCATATTGCGTAAATGATTACATCATCATGTCGTGCCAAGATTGTCACAGAGAGTCGAGTCACCTCGATCTTGTGCTTTCCTCCATTATAGTCTAAAAAATAGGATATTTCCATTGTATTTCATGTTTTAAATGTTCATGATCTATTCAGTCACTTGGGGGTATCTACTTTTGCTTATGTAATTTAGTGCTTAATTTGTATAATATGCACATACTCATTGGAGGAATCTAAACAGGCCATAGATGTCATGTTTTATATGCATTTTTCATATATTTTTTTTTGTGGTTATACAATCCTGTTTTTCTAGCCCGGTTGCCTAAATGTTCTAACTGAATTCAATTCTGCTTAAATGTTTTATGGTCTAGAAATGAGGAATAAAGTGGTGGTACAGATTAGGATAGCTGCATGAACTTACATGCTGTGTGGAATCTAGAGAGTAACTGATTACCACATTTTGACATTTTGATCGATGATGGCTAGTTTATTTTTGTTGCATCTACTGCTCTATCACCAGCCATAAGTGATAGTTATTTCAGGAATAAATGGAACTAAATTTATCGTATGGGGAAGAGGTTTGGGCACTGAGCTAGTGAGATATAGGAAAACAAGAATTAGACCCGCCTTATGACCACCCTTGTTGTAAGTTTCTTTTTTTGGGTCTAATATTATATTATCCCCCATAGTTTATGCTCCTGTTAGTTGTCTTCTGCCCTTTTCTCTCTTTTACACTCTCCTCACTAGCATCTTCCGGTGACACCCCAATTGTATTCTGCGTACATCTCTGGTTAGCTACTCATGTGGATGCTTTTTATTTGCATCAACATTTAGGACTGCAACACATCAGAGGGAGCATTGTTGTCGTATTGAAATCACAATTGATCGAATGTAGAGATGCAGACTACCTAAATCATTTTGACAAATCATTGCGCTTGGTTAGCCCTCATCATTAATTCCCTCATATAATATGGACCACACATGTTCATTGAAGGCTTTTGCAGCCCATCTCTAGACTCTAGTCATGCTTGCCTATTCAACCCCCTCATATTGCTCAAATTGCATATTCAGGTGGCGTTTGTTTCAGCGAAACCCGGCGGAATTGTAATGACTTCCCATTAACCCAATTGGCAATTTCTTTTGCCAAAGGATTTCATCATACTTCTGTACATACCATGGAATGCAATTCTATTCTTTCATTATTTTGTTATAAAACAATAATACCGTTGTCCTTTATTGTTATTATTTTAATTGCTATTATTATTATTATTATTGTTAATGTTAATAATAATATTATTAATTTAATGGTTATGTAAGTAGTTTTACTAGTATTTATAATTCATTTTCAAATATGTTTTCGTAAACTAAAAATACATTCGTACCATTAAAGGGTAATCTTGTCATCTAACATCATTTACATTCTAACTTTCAAGCCATGTTAACCAAACAGAAAGTTCAAAGGAATTGAATTTCATTTCATTCCCTGCTGACGACATGGTCGAACCAACTTCATTTTCATCCATATCCTTCATATTCCAATTTTTTTGACAGATTTAATTCCTTTGCCAACAAAATGCCACCTCAGTTTCAAGCTTCTAATCCTTCCAGGTCAATTCCATCCAGAAAAACTCTCACATAGGTGTCTCACTTGCATTGGCTAAGGGAAGCATAAAGGAGGCTAAAGAACAGTTGGCCTCTTTTATCTAGTTGATGCAGATTCTGTTAGTCATTTTAAGGACTCGCTAAATATACTGCTATTCATTACAACTCATAAGCAATGCCTTTATACGCTGGTAAAAAGTGTTTTTCCCTCACCTTTTCTCCTTGAACTGCAGTCCTTTTTGCCGGTTCGAATGATAATAATATCTTTTAGTTGTAAGCAATCATGTAAATTATCGAATTTGAGGCTCAAGCATTGAGCCATGTCTGCTTTCATTTTTTTAGTGGAATCAAGTTTTTATTTTTATTTTATGTTTTTGGTGTTAGACTTTTCTGTTGAACCTGTCTTTTTTCCGCAAAGCAGACAACCAAAAGGCTGAAAGTCCAGCGGAGAGGTTTACTTGCAAACTTTGTTGGTAAGGATTTGTTCAATTGATATTATGGAACTTCTGTAATTCTGTAAATTTCTACTTCTTTTGAGAAGTTTCTTATTATCTCACCTTGTCAGATGCTACAATGAATAGTAATTCATGATGTGTCTTTATTAAATGTTTTAGTTTTGTATGTAAATTGGTTTGTTTAAAATTTTCAATGAGTTGCCCTTCATGCATCTCTGCTTTACCGTGACTTGCATAGCTGTCTCTCTGACTTCTTGGATGGTGAAAGTTCTAAGATAATGATCATATGGATGTAATTTCTATGAGGTACGAAGGAATGCTGTATCATATGGTAGTGGAGTGCCCCCTCGTTGGCCAGTTTGGATATGCCATGCAATTGGTTTGCCGGCAGTGAAAGAAAGGTAACATGGGTGATGGTTAGACCATATCACCAGATTGGACAATGGCTCTGGGATTTAGAACTTGGAACAGGGAGAGATGATTTTTATAATTTTTAATGAAAACCTGCTTTGGAGGGGTGTTGATGCATAGCGACATTGGGTTTTTATGTCGGTTGAGATGGGGTGTCTTGGGGTGTCTGTGTGGCATCGTCTTGAAAGATGGATTTCTTTAAGCGCAATGGCTTTGCTAAACTTTATCTAACCCTTAACTAGACAAGTGAAATTGGAATGAGAAGGTAATTTATAGTGCTCACTGTGGGTGTATGTTTGAGTATGTACATCTCTGTGTTTCACCAGATTGGCAGATGTTCCAGTGTGTTTGATACGAGATTGTGTTTTTGCATATGCATTTGTGCATGTGTCCATTAACACGTGTGTTGCTGGTGTGTGATCATATATATTTTTCAAGCTGGTGCATATTTTCTGTGTAATGGTTGCTAGAGGGTCTACGTGCATTTTTTTCTGTGAGGGCAGGAGATTGCTAGATTAGTACTTTATGTGTGAGAAATAGTTGCTTGCTTGTTGGCAAATAGGAGAGAGGATAAGTGGATTCCCATAACAAAGAAAGAAAACAAAAGGCTTGTGTACATTAAAGTATCCTAAAAGACGAGAATGTAACAAAATAACATGTCTCATTTGAGGTGGAAAAATGGGCGGGTGAAGTGGGTTGGGTATTAGTTTAAATTGGGATAGGTTGCGTACTTCCTTTTACCCACCAACATTTTGTGTGTTACTTTTTTGAAATTTTTATGTTAATATATCAAATACATTGTAACTGTATTATTAAATTAATAATCTATTTTTTAAGTAAAGCAATTTAGAATGTCGTGGGCATTTGAATACACTTTGAGCGACTTTTGACCTGCTTTTTAGCTAAATTAATTATTATATTTGACCCATTGAAGTTAAAATATCATCCAAATAGGCCCATTTTAAGTAAATTTGCTGAAATAGCCACCTCTAAGTCTCATGGATGTTTTTTAGGATTTGGTGTTCTATGGGGTGGAATTGTATACGTTTTTAAATACACTTGCTTATAATATAGCCAATTCCCAGTGTATTATGGCACCTGGATCATGGCAACATTATGGCCTTGTGATGCAACTTGATAGAAATGTAGATTTCATTCTTGGGCTCGAGTCACAGATGCTGTATCTTGTGAAAGGTGGTACATCAGATTAATATATTTGTTAGAACGAGTTGTATAGCCAGTAGATGGATTTGACATGCATTTCATCTGAGAAAAGGCTTTTCCTTTTCTGTACTTGAACCTGCATGTATTGGTCTGTAGATGGTTTAGGAGCTGTTTTCACTTTTTCTTGAAAGTTGCATTGGAAGATAGCCTCTTAGTTGTGAACTTACAGCAGTTGGTTTCCTGTTACTGTTTGTTAGCAAGGAGAACATGCTTATCTGTTGTTCTTCACTTTGGCGTCAACTTCAAGTTGCTTGTTCATTCTTAAGACTAAACCAAACTTTATAGCCATACACATGATTAGGATTTAGGATGTGGAGAACCTTGATGTGTATTTACTGAATCAAATCTCATACGATGTTTGAGGCTATTGTCAATCACCGGAATAATCTAGACATATATTTTGGTTGGTGATTGTAGTAAGAATGTGCTTTAGTGCGAATAACAAACCCATTGGACACTACACTCTTTTCAATGTACACATTCCTTTTGGTACCATCTAGACTTGGACATTTGCAGCTATACCCCCTCCCCGCGTGGGGCGGGTGGGACCTTGACAATTCCAGAATTAATAATCTTATTGTGGATATATAGGCATTATCATATACCAGATGTAAAATTATGGATTTTTATTTTTTTCTTCTCTTCCACTATGCTGATGCAGACACTAGAGCTGTAAAATGTCAATTTGCTGAGTTTAGATAATTTATATCAATTGCACCCTTTATTGATAAGGTAATATTTTCTGCTTGGAATGAATGACTTGTGTTAGTTGAATGCATAGGAAGCATCTAGGAAAAAACAACATACACAAGGAGTTTTTACTAGTGTGGGAACCAGGCATTCATGTTTCAATTTTAGGAGTTCTTGTCTAGTTGTTTTCTGTACAGGCACACAAAACATAGCAACCGAGGTGCAACTTCAAACCAAGGGGGTGTTTGGGATTGCTTATTTCAATCAACTTATGTTTTTCTAGAATATTTTAACTTCTTCAAAAACTTCTTGTTACCGGTTTGGCACTGTATATGCTGTTTATCCAAACACTCGAAAGTGCTTATTACCTGTGTCACATCGGAATAAGTCAATAAGTTATTTTCATAAGCAATCCCAAACACCCCCTAAGTTGGATTGTTGACTTGTCGATTATAACAACTTAACTGGAGTATAATTATTATGAAAAGCTTGAGGTGTTACTTGATCTGTTAGCAAGTTCGAATCTGACAAGTCAAGGTTTCTGGGTTTCTTCTTTGGCCTCTTTTTTATTCATTAGCTTGTTGCTTAAGACTGACTCATAAGAAAATATTTTTCTGTAGCAACTAAGACATCAACTACAAATTTTGATGTTTAACTGCTGTCTACTTTTGTTCTCCAAATTGTTGTCCTTATGCTTATTCGAATGCATCTTTGTAGTTAGGTCTATAATCAAAAGTGAATCCTTGCCCTTTGTTATTTTTAGGACGGTCTTTAGCTGGTGTGAAACATACTAATCAATTAAGGAAATGACAAATGATAAGGGGGAAAGACTTCCAGACATAGGCGGGATATGATTAGTCACTAACTCTAGTAGTTTGTATTCCTGTGAACTCCTGTAGTTGTTGCGGCTTTCTGTTCAAACTCCAATTTAAGGCTTTAATATGCGTGTTTCGTCACAGTTTTATAGTCAACTCTATGACCCCGAGAATCGAGATGACATTTTATTGTAACATTTACTTATCCGTATAATAGACAACTACTTGAGGCTAAGAAGGATTGCACATTAGCTATACCTAATTTACCGGACTAGATTTTCTATCCAATTTTCATTTATACCAGTTCGTAGAGTTTGTTGAAAGATCTCTTGTCCAGCTTTGTAATACCTCTAATAATTGGTTTCATCCTCATTTTATGTAGCTACTTATTGGAGAGTTATCTATTGTAAATCATTTTGTCTAGAATATCAGTTGCTTTTCTTGCTTCTTGTTTAGCTTTGTATAAATGTACCAATATTTTTCGTCAATTAAGCACTTATTTGCATTTTTTTATCGTGTTTTTTTTCTTTAATGCATTCATACATCTCAAAGGCACATACAATGTTGGCTTATGAATTTTTAGGACAGTTAGGTTACTAGACAAGTAGTGTACCAAGCCATAGCTTAATCTGGATACTGGTTTTAGCTTAAATGGTTCTATTGGGGATTACTGGAAGGTCATACGAAGTTGCTAACCACTTCAAATATTTAGAGAAACTAATTTGTAATATACCACTTCAAACTTGGGTGACCTAGAGGGCTTGATTTAGCACTATTTATTGTGGATTCTGTTGTATTGGTTTTTCAAAACGGAGCCTTACTGTTTTCTTTAATGTGGCACTTAACACTGCCATCAAGGTCATCTGAGATTTACTTCAATTATGGAAGCCTGTAACTTAAAAAACATTTGGATAATGCACTGGCAAGGACAAGTTGTAGAAAACCGTTCAGCAAAAGGAGAGAAACAATACCAAGTGATATATGTTGTAACTGAATCATTAAGCTGGTTTGCAGTGTATTCCTTTTTACCCAGAAGAGATGTAAGAAATGCTCTTGGTGCCTTTAGATTAATGAGCACTTTTACTTTCAGGACTTCCTTGGTCACAACTGTGCTGTTGTGTATCAAAAAATTGATTAGATAAGCAGCAAAAATTGATGCACACAGAAGAGTCAGACATGTGACGCCCACTACTTCAGAACAAGAAACCATCAGTGGTCAATGTCCTATTTACAACTTATATTGGATGGACTTTTCATGTTACAGTTGAGGTTTTGTACCATTGTGGATGTTAATGGTTTGTGTCTCAAATCATAGTAGTTGAGAAGCTTGGGTAATCCTATTCAAATATTGCATTTTTTTTTTCTCTAGCTAGCAGCTATGCAGTTAATTGTGGTGAAATAGCGGTTAGCGGTCCTAGGGGAAATAGCGGTTTTGCTAATAGCGGCGTTAATCACCGCAATTGGGTCGGAATTTTGACTTGCAATAGCGGTGTGAAAACCGCAATTAGGAGTTGGGCTTTAGGTTGTCCTTTTAAAGGGTTCAGAGAAGTTGATTAAGGGATTATAAGCTAGGGGGCTGATTTTCATTTGCAATATTGGTGTGTAACTCGCTATTCCTCTCTCATCTCTTCTATTCCAGTCTATATTTTGCATCTTCTCTTCACAACAACATTGTCTTCCAACATTGGTCGCTCATCTCTTCCATTCATCTGTTCTTATGTTCATCTTCGAAATATGTATTATGTTATGCATCTATTCATACATTTATATATAATTATAATGATTACATCAACCGCTATATGTGGACCGTTAGACCACCGGTTTACCATCGTGATGACCGCTATATCAAATCACGATCCTAACCGCTATTTCAATTTTTGACCGCTGTAACAGCATTGGGTAGCAGAAGTGTTGGTTTATATTTTTGGCTAACTGGTTTATCTTATTGGTTAACTTGTGAGTGAAATAGGTCTATATCTTTGCAAAAATAAGATTATGTGAAATGGTAGATGTAGATGGGTATTGGTTAAAGAAGATGATATGCTGACTAGAGAGGGAGAGAGATTGATGGAGACAGAGTGTCTCCATACATCCATCAGACTACCAGCACTTAAGCTTTGGGCACTTTGAATGGAACATACGCTCATGTGGAGTTATTATCCCTTTTTCAAGTCTAGCAGTTCTTTTTTCTGTCAACTCAAGTATCCCAAGTGATTTATTCTTTTCCTCTATGAACTATACTTTTTAGTACATATGTAGGCAGAAGGTAATGTGTGCTGCTAGTGGAACACCACATTCCAAAAGGTTTAAGCTATGTTTAGCACATGAGTAATCCTTGTACATCGGGTGCTTCTGTATTGAGTTGTGGATGTGGAGAGGGTGGTTGTATATGAAGAAAGAAACTACGGAGGTTATAAAATGATACAGGAAAATGATTTTTTGCTGAGGAATAGAATGTTCTCAATTTATAGGATGTCATCAAACATGTCTTTTGAGTAACTGGTAAGGTTACTTCCTGCTTACAAGGCTTTTGGCAGTTGGTTCTGTATCATATAGAGGGTTGAGTTTTAGCGAAGCTTGAAGCAAGTAATTATGTTGAGATTGAATTTGCCTGTTCATTGTCACTTCGTAACCGAAACATTTGATGTATTAGTAGTTTGGGCAAATTTTGAAGCACAGTATCATTGCTAGTGTCGCTCCTAACATTGATACTTTCAATCTATGTTGGTCTACACAATTGAGTTTCTGGAAACTTTTTAAATCTGAGTGATGTTATCCTGTTCCTTTTATGCTGTTGGTTCTGCTTCTTCCTCTTCAATTTCGGCTATTATAGAAGTTGCTATTTCTAATGCTGTGGTGGTTATACTAGTAGTCATGAAGTTATCAATGTTTCAGCCAAGATCGCATAGATACTTGGTCTTGTAGAGCATCTTGCTAATCTTCCTTTTTGAACTCCAATTAATATATGAGCTGGATGTAGATAGCAGAATATTTGCTTCCGAAGAAATAGGTAACATCGTTAGCCTTGCTTATATGCTTTTGTCCTTTCTTAGAAGACCGCTGTAGCGAGATCTTTTTCTCTCGTCAGGGTTTGGAATAATGTCGCTTTTATTTTACCGTCCGAGAAGTAAACGGTTAGAAACTTGATTCTTTATGAGACCTAGAATGCAACTGCAGAACTCTAAATTTCTCCCAAGAAGTATGTTCACTTTAGGCTCTGAATTAAAGTTTTTATCATCGGACTTCATTTATCTCTAATTTATATGTGTGTGTGTATATATATGTTATGCAGAATAATAGTAATAAAACACACACACACATATATACATACATACATACATACATACATACATAATTTCTCTCTCTTGGGAATGCTCGATAAATGGTTTATCTTACGGTTGAGGTGCTGCGAAGCGTAGATGAGCAAAATTTTTGTAGTGCAAGATTTAAAGTGCTCTTGACAAGCTAGCACTTGGTGATCAACTGAATAGACAAATTTCTTAACCAGTCTGCACTCTTCCCCCACAAACTACTTTTGGTAGAAACTGAAATATGAATTCCTGGGTCATTTGGGTTTAGGTTTAACTGCTTATCTGTATGAGGTAAACAAATCTAAATCACTCTACAGATTTTTACTGATTGCCTTAACTGATCTTATTCGGATAGAAACCCTAAGATTTGCTGAACAAGTGTTCTCTTTGTACAAAACATACATTCTTTTCTTGTTTTGCTGCTGGCTTGATTATGACTCAAATCCAGTCATTTTTAGCGATAGATGAATAAAAGATTAGATCCCATTTGGAATACTGCGTCGATCTAGTCACTTGAGCCAACGTTGTGAATTCCTGTGGCGATTTAGTTTTTCATCGACCATTTTCAAACAACATTGACGAGACAAGGTTTTGAAGGGAAAATTTGTAGGTTTTTACTGGTTATTTGCTGAATTGATTTATGTATGAGATTTGTGATAACAGCATCTAATTCAACAATGAGTATCTTCTGCTTGATTGTGTGAAGCATTCTTGGTGGGAACCTCAAAATGGCATTCAATTAAATGTGGAATTACGACTCCTTGATCCATTCCGTTCCAGGTATAGGATATATTGTATTTTTGGTTTGTAATCATTACATATAGAGCTTTGTAATTAAGACATTTCACCAGTATCATTATTTTGGTGATTTGTTTACTATAATCGTGATTGCTAAAAGTACGAGAAAACCGTTCTAATTCGAGTAGAAATGTAAATGTTTTGAACTTTATGATTATGAAAATCTCGAAGAATATTTGATTTATGCACATGAGTTCTTTAGTATTCATCTATTGAATTGATTGTCGAGGTATTTGTTGATGGTTTCAGTGATTGCTTTCTCTAATCATATTTAAAAGACGGAATGATGTTTTTCGTCCTTGTATTTTTGGCGTTTTTAACGGATTTTGCTCTTGTTTTTGAAAAATTAACGAAACGAGTTCTTGTGGTTGTATTTTTTAACGAGTTGGGTCCTTAGAATTAATTAAAAAATATGCACCAGAAGAACCGAATCTGTTAACTTTTTCAAAATTGGCATGGAATCTATTAAATGTACCAAACCCAGAGGATGAAAAGTGTGCCTAAAAATTACTCAATGACTTCTAGAGATGATTTAAACTAAACTAAATTATATTTCAAATGTCAATGATCTGACCATTTCTGGATGTTTCTTTGATTTTATACGAATTTTCAAAGTTGTAGAAACAGTGATTTTTATAGTCTAAAATGTCTTTTTTTTTATGCCTTTCTACCCAAATCGCCTCCAAATGGTTCCAAATTCATAATTTTTTTCTTAAACATTCATTTTATACACTAAGGGGTCGTTTACTAAATGCTTACCTGACAAATGCTTATCGGGTAATTTTCCTTATCTAATGAACATGACAAGGGTCAAAAATCTTACCCGATAAGTGCAATGATAAATATGGAGTCTTAGGGGCCGTTTACCTAAATGCTTACCCAGTAAGCGCTTACCTTTAGGAGTCAACAATGTTATTTTGTTTTACGGGGTAAAATTGTAGTACATCAAAATGGTAACATATGCAACAATTTACCCGGTGAGCACTTACCTGGGCAAGAGTCGTCACCCTCACTTACCGAGTAAGACTATTCATCTTTATCATTGCTCTTATTAGGTAAGGTTTTTGACCTTTGTCATGTTCATCCGGTAAGGAAAATTATCCAGTATGCACTTACCGGGTAAGTGTTTAGTAAACGGCTCCTTACTCGGTAAGTAAGGGTGATGACTCTTACCCGGGTAAGTGTTTATCGGGTAAATTATTGCATACGATACTATTTTAATGTACCACAATCTTACTCACTAAAATAAATTTAGTGTTGACTTCTAACGGTAAGTGCTTACTGGATAAACATTTAGGTAAACAGGCTCTAATTCCATGATTTGCCAAGTTTGACTTTCAAAAGTCAAACTTTATACATAAATCCTATAATTGATCAACAATTTTTTGTGACTTATCTATCATCCAAGCTATATAACTTGTTATACAACCTTATTTCATCAAAATCATTTCATATAAAATATATCCTTAGCAAACCCTAACCCTAACCCTAACCTCAAATTTATGTGCTTAAATTAATAAAGAATGATCACCTGCCTCCACCACCACTCGATCGATTTAGGGTTTTTTTTTGCTCCTTTCTCGAGGATTTTGGTGGCCATTGGCGTTCGTCGGTTGTCTTGGAGGTTCCCTCACTTCACCGTCGATAAGCGTATTCCAAATTTCTCATTTCTGTTTTTTAAATCGTTTTTATTATCGATTAATCTATGCTTTTTGATGAGCTTTTTTTTTAATAAACTTTCATATGAAAAATTAATAAAGAATGAGATATACCTTTAAAATCTTGACCAATTCTTGGATCATCTTTAAGACTAAATGTGTGAAATCGCACCCCAAAATTTCCATAAGTTAATAGAGCGAAAATAGGGTGAAGATGGGTCACATTTCGTGTTTTTCCTGAATTTAACAAGTTTTAGGTCGGGTTGACCCGATTGGGTTGACCTATCACCTATTTTGACCACCTAATACAAAAAAAAAATATAACTTTTCGTTTAGACCTTCGTTTTCAGTGAGGTTTTTGCCCACGTGATCGTAGCAAGATAATCTATAATTTCCAATAAAAATATTCCAGAAGAAACCTCCCAATAAAAGCAGTTTTATATATTTGTAGGTGTTATGTTTTCCTTTGCAATTTTGTCTGTTTTGATTTTGAGCTTGGAATCCCATAAAAAATTTCCGACACCTCCAAAAACTTCTAATAGGTCCAAAACTTAGTTCCAAAGCTTAAAATACCATCAAACAACTCCTATTTAAGTGTTGTGCGCATAGTTTACCGAAAAAGCAACGTAATTTGTCAAACTTGCATAAAATGCAATGTACACGACTTTTTTTGACTTCTGTCACTTCTAATACTTTATAATAACTTATTCAAAGGTGTTCCAACCTTTATATCACCATTTAGATCATCCGTTCAAGTTTTGGATAGATTTTTTCCATTTAGGCACTCTAGTTACCTACCTGATTTCCATCTAGGTAATGTACTTTGTATTTTGAACCCTCACATATTCTAATTATGTCATTTGTGAGGTGTTAGCACCAAACTTATCTCGTACATTTCTTTCTAAGTATGAGTTCTACTTATAGCTCACTAATACACTTGATATTTTAGTAAATTCTCTTTTTACATAATTAGCACATAATTTTTTTTAGGAGGGTGGATGTTACACATAGATGACACAAAGAAAGGATATTTTTGTCATTTTTCATCATTACATTCCATTTTTGATGCAAACCAAACAAGCAGATTCCAATTTATTAGATACATTACATTCCATTCCTGCAAACCGAACACTTGGTCAAACCTGATAACATTTCATTTCAATTCCTTCCAGATTCCATTCCTTCAAAAATTATTCTACGAACCAAACACCCCTCAGTCTTTCCATGTTTTATAGTAAAAGTATCAAACTAAGGGACCGTTAATCAAACATTTACCCGGTAAGTGCTTACTGGTAAAATTTAACACTATTATGTACTTACTGGGTAAGATTTTACTCCACCAAAACAACATCGTATGCAACAATTTACCCGGTAAGTGCTTACCGTGGCAAGAGTCGTCGCCCTCACTTACCGGGTAAGACTCTTGGTCCTTGTCTCACTCTTATCGGGTAAGATTCTTGGTCTTTATTATTCAACCGGTGAGGTAATGTTACTTGATAAACGTTTACCTGAGTAAACGACTCTAAAGCAAATTTAAAAATAGAATAAAATATGTTTTTTTTGGGTCCCAATGGTTTGTTGAAAAACTGTTTTTGTCCTTGTGCTTCTAAAATTACCGTTTTAGTTCCTAACTTTTTATGATTCACAATTTGTTGTTTTTTTTGTTTCCATGCTTTAAAATTTATTGTTTTTTTCTTTCTTATAATTTATTAATTAATTGTTTTAGAAATGAAAATAACAACGAAATAAGAAAGTAAAAAGACCAAAATTAGGGATGGTAATTTGCCTCGACCAGGTGGGGAACCTGGTTCACCCGACCAGAACGAGGACGGGGATTTTCCTGTAAAACGGGTCCCGGGGCCGGGGATCCCCGGTAGACTCAAACCGGGGACGGGGATGTTACTCAAACGGGGGATGGGGATGTTACTCAAACCGGGGATCCTCGGTAGAATTAAACTGAAGGATACTATTTATGGGGTTTTACCGGATTTTAACCGGGTATTGCTAAAGATTTGACTGGGGACGGGATAATAATCCCCGTACCCGCAGGGACCGGGGCCAGGGCCGGGGGACGTTACTACAAACCGGGATTAGGGATTACAAAACTCGCCCCATCCGCACCCCGTTGCCATGCCTAACCAAAATCACATTTCTAACAGAAGCCGGGGACGAAAATCACAATTTACTACTGAAGATTCAATGATTGTTAAAACCTTGTGAGCAAATTAGAAATGAAAGCATAAAAAATTGGATAAAATGTGAATTTCTGAATATATGAAGGGGGTATAGAGAACATGTGAAAGTGTGTTCATAGAAGGGGAAATAGCCGAACCAGGGAGAAGGAAGGGGCCGCAGCCACCACCTGAAGATGACGACCAGATCGATAGCTTCGATTGGTAGCTCATGGAAGCAGTCATCTTTCAACTTAATCAGAAGGACACTCAGCACCTCTTCTCCTGCTTCGGCTTCCACTTCCACTTCTGCTTCAAACCCTAGTACGACACTTCCCAAATCAAAGAGAAAGAAGAAGAAGAATTTGTTCGAGGTGGCTCAGTTTCTTCCTAATTGGGGAATCGGTTATCAAATGGCTAAAACCCACTGGTCTGGCGTCGCTTATCAGATTACCAAGATCAATCTTTACAAGGTCTATCCCCCCCCCTCTCTCTCTCTCTCTCTCTCTCTCACTCTCACACACACACACGCACACACACACGTCACAGATTGAAATGGTGTTTATTTGGGTTTGTTAATTTGTTCTGATGCAGTGGTTGCGTTTTGGTTCTAGGGTTTTAAAGGGTTTTAGGCTTTTTGAGCTTTTAGTTACTTCTGCTTCTGCAGAACTGATATAGATTATGTTGCAAATTCGGACTTTATTCTATATTCGTATCAAATTCTGCTAATTCTGTAAGATTCATGTCCATTCTGAGGTTGAAAAGCAACCTGTTAGACATTCAAAATCAAAGTGATTGTTAATTGGTTTATTTTTCAGGATGGTAAGCATGGCAAGGCTTGGGGAATTGTTCACAAAGATGGTGAGTTGTTATTTCTCTTTAGGTAACTGCTACATTTTCCGGTTTGCATTGCTGTTTCTTGGTTATGGTGGTCAATAAATGTGGAAGATGAGTGGTTGTATACTCAAGAAAAGGTTATAAATAGTTATGAAGTGCAATGTATTTTCTTCTACATCCAAGGCTGATTAATCTTTGTTTTTTGTCACTTCAATTTTGGAACAGCGATACCATGTGATAGTAAAATGCTATTTTCAATCTTGCTAGACGGGTTCTTACCTATCTCGGTTTTATATTGAGGAGATACCTGGACATATGATTCTTGCTTCGCCTAATGGTGTGGTCATCACAGTCCTTGCCATATTTCCAAAATTTCTAGTTTTTGCTTTGCTTATTTATATGTAGTGAAATTGTTCTTTTGAGGTGCTTTTTAGAGCTTTTAACTTGTTATTTAATAGGTTGATTATATGTATTAGATGCTAGCAAGGTGGAATGCTAATGAAAACTTTGGCCTAAGGTGTTGTTGCCTTGACAATCATGTGTCGCATGAATACAGGCGTGTCATCAGTGGATGCTAGAATCTGCAATTCTGAAAAATCAAAGAGATGGGGGTGTGTTTGTATGTATATTTGATGGTCTAAGACCAAACCTAAACAAGAAAGAAGATTAATTAAGGATTCATACATTAAACATGAACAGTACATAATTAAGCTTAAGTGTTATCTTAATTTTACTTTTCCCATAAGCATTATGTTAATTCTGGTTTAGTTTCTTAAGGAAAAATAGATATAAATGTCGTACTTTTAAACTTTCTTGATTTATGTGCTAAATAAAATGATCTTATCACATATTTATACTCTCTTAATCATATCATTTACATAATTGTTGGCTAATTTTAATCAAGCTAACTAACATAAATGACCAATTTGTGATGAGAGGACAACAGGCAAAATAATTTGACAAAAAATGTCAATCAGCATGAGAATGTGACGGAAAATAATGACAGAAAATGATCAGTATATGCTCTCTTGTCAATAATTTATTTAGGTAACTTGATTCAACTTAAGCAAAAAGATGCAACTGATATGATTATGAGTATTAGTATGTGATGGTAAATCTTTTTGTTCAAGTATATGATCGAAAGAAATGTGAAAACATAGTCACCCTTTTATCTATTTTGCCTCTTAACCTGAATTTCAAATATATTTTGGTGAATATTTATTCTTCCATTTTTGCAAGATCAATTCTCCTATGGCACCTTTCTATCACACCTCTGTATTTAGGGTAATAACCTCTCTACTTCTTAAGGTAGAGGAAAGGTCTGCTTACATCATACTCCCAGAATTTAGTTTGATTGGGTTTGGTTTAATTAGAAGACATAATCAATGCTACATCTTGGAGCACCCAATGTGAGAGTATTCAACAATTAAGATGATCTTACCTCTTACCCCCATAGGTCTCAAATTGGATTTTGCTTTTAGTTGGTCATATTTCCAAGGTATGAATAGCAGAAATATGAATATATGCTACATTGATGATCTTAAACCAGCAGAGTCTAGCAAGCCTTACTCTATATTTCAACTCCATCTTCTAAGACTCTTATGGTTGGAGGGTGGATGTATGAATCATTCTCAATTCGAAAGAAGTTGCACATTTCTTTTGAAGCAGAAACTATTGTGGAAAGAGTGCCTGTGAATTGGGAATTTGCAAAATGATCAGTGGATTATCATGAATAGTAAGATTGATCACCGAAGTTTTTTCTAACCTGCCAAAAGGACCACAAAACCAAAAGAAGTCAGATCTGGTCCAAATTGGCTGACAGGCTCTGATGGAGCTTGAAGATGTGGCAGCCATACCCATCAGTAAACAGGAGGGCATCAATGAAGGTCATGAGTGGTTAGTTTTTCCAAGGAGACGGGTTTAGTTGCAGATAGAATTGTTAGTTGGAAATTTATCTATTTTTTTGCATTCTTAAGCTGTTGATCACAAGGAACAATTACTGTAAGAAGCCATATCACAGGATCACATATGAATGCCTCTATGACTCCAAATGCAGGATTCTAGAGTTACACTTGACTTTTATGTCAACCTAGAACTTCGTGGATTCAAAATATTATGGTTTTGGTTCCAAATTTTAGTACCCAAATTTTCCTGCTTGCAATATTTGTTGTAAATATAATACTCGTTGACTTTTACTTTCTAGGAAGTAGGACTGGTATGAAAATGGACTTGAAGATTAGTCGGTTTGATCTTACATTGTCTTCTGGGGGAATACTAGCTTTAGCGAGCTTCTAATGTTGGTGGGTGTGCAGGTATACCAGCTGCTGATGCTCCAAAGAAGATTAGCGGTGTTCACAAGCGTTGCTGGAAATATATTCCGGACTCCAATAAAACCAAACAAATAACACCTGAATCTCAACCTCAAACCGAACCAGAAGTTCAAGCTACATGATACCCTCTACACAAGGTTAGATGTCGTTCTCTTTGCTCTTTCTTTTTGGGACACATTTGGCATGGTGCTCGAATTATGTTTAGAGATGTTTTTGCTCAGATTGACCCAGATTTGGTTGCTCAATTGGAGCATTCCGTTGATGTTTTTTAGAAGAATCTTTTTCATTTTCTTTTTTAAAGTGCTAGCAATGAGGTTGCATGTTAAACCTCTTTTCGTCTTACTACGTTTGCCATCAACCAATGTTTCAAGCTTTGATCTTGATCAAGACTTCATGTGATCTCATTGATTGTTTTTATAATTTCTTCAGTTATTTGCTTCAACGTTTCTATATATACATCCTGTGTGTGTACGTCTCTCGTTTAACCATGCTTTAGCTCTCAAGTTTTGTTGGCATTCGGTGTATTGTTGTTTGCATCATGGTATGTTACACAGCTTTTTTGGGGGATATCATAAAGTGAGCTTTTTTATAGGACCATTCTGCTATCAATTGCTTTCATTTAGGCATTATTAACTGCTAACTTCTCAGACGTCCATCTCACACGTTAGATGGTGGTACGATTACATAGGTTAATTTCAAATTTTCCAAGGTGTTTGGTACACATACAAGAACGTGGACTGCGCGGAATTGGATTGGAGAGGATGGACGGAAAGAAATTTGGAAGGTTGTAGGATTTTAATTCAACATGGGTAGTTTAGTAATTTATCAATTATGTCCATCTCCCTAACTTTTGTTCCACCTCTTTTGCTGGTGCATTTTTGTTCCACTCGGTCCTATCTGATTGTCCCAAATGTGAGATCAAGTTTTTGTTCAGTCTTGTTCTGCCTACCAAACTTTAGGATCAATCTTAATAGGTCGTGACTGGTCTACACTTATTTAACCAAATCAAAAGAGTCCGGTATATGCCATCTGGCAGTGGGGTTTGGTGGTAAGATGTGTGCAGATGTGACATATGTTCCCAAGAGTAGAGCGGCTGTTTCCCTGGTTTGTGCATCTTGCCTTAGACTGATGCTTAGTTTGACCCAACACCCATGCTACTCTCCATCTTGTACAACTTGCAACATGGTTTGTCAATTAAGAACGCATAGTTTTCAAGCAACTCGTAGAAATTCTCTCTAGGTTCCGAGGGCAAATCTTAGACTTCCCACCCGAGTTCTTTTTCACCATCCTCCTTAATCATTGTACCAATCGTCGTACGTCAATTATGCATCAAATTGTCCTTATTAACTTGATAGATGATTTAACTATCCCAGATTTCCTTGTTGCAACGTAACCATCTCAAACTTGAGTCTTTTTTTAGTGAAACTCGAGAAGTTATATGTAAGAACTATAGCATTTCGTAATTTATTGGAAAATCCACTTTGATTCTCTATGAACCAATAATGTGAGACCATTAACATGGTTAAAGCTAAACTGTTTGATGTCCAGACGCAACATTGATAATGCAACTAGAAATTTGACACTCGACCGTAGCTCCTCCGTATTAGGGCCAGGGAACTTCATACATCGAGTAGCAGCTTGTGATCTTTTCCTATGGTGATGCATTTGCATGCGTCGTTTCTATTGGTTTGCACTTGACCAATTTCATGGGCCCCGTAGAATAGTGAGGAAAATTCTTAGTGGGCTTAGAGGGACTCGAACCAGTGTCCTATCGTGAAGAAGGATATTTGTTTGTTGTACGTTGTAAACGATATTCATAAATTCATTTTTATAAATTCTATAAGTTTATCATAACACGAGTTCTTTGAAAGCTAAAGAGCCAATAGCGGAGGAAATATTTATCCGTATCGTTTCGAAATTACGAACGAGATAGCAACCGAAATAATTCCTATTCTGCTAATTTTTGTAGGTTCGAAATTTCAAAAAATATCGTCCAAAACACTTATATAATAAAGTTAAATATCTTGAAGGATAATTTATATATAAATCCTTAGAAAAAACCTACTTGTGTTTTCATATGCATTTTTATTTGAATTTCTGGATTTTTTTAATGATTTTTTTTTGCTTTCTCATAATATTTAATTTTTTTTTATTTAAACCGATCTTACTGAAACTTCCCACTTTACTTGATTAATGACAATCATTGATTTCACCGTGACTTGTAATTTTACATTATTAGAAGCGAAAATCTTGAAAATTGGGGAGAATTCGAAATCAGGGCCTCGGAATAAAGGAATTTGAGATCGATGGTTACCCGTGTAATGTGGCGGGAGCCGTGAATTTTAACGATTTTGAAGTTTCACTGGTTTTATTAGATAATATTTAACGATGATATAAGTTACAATTGGTCTTTGCATATTAATACAATTTGAATACATAGGTGTTATACTTCCAATTATAGTCTATCGATGGAAACAATTGTATGACAGTTTAAAATCCAACATATTTAAACGATTCTATAAATGTGTTCGATTTACACCAAGAGTAAAGAATCAAGAGATCGAGAGCGAGATCGAGAGTTCTAGAGCAATTGAATGTGAGATGAATGAGAGAGTGGATGCATGAGTGAAAGGTGTCAAAAATATCTTTAAAACGTATAAGACACCACGTTCTTCATCATCGTAACCAATACACATCAAGACCAATCGAGAACCCATCGAGACCGAGCGAAAACCCATCAAGACCAATCAAGAACCCATTGAAACTGATCGAGAAAGGTCGAAAATCCATTCATTGACTTGGTATGTGTTTATGTGTGTTAAACCATAACCTACCACCTTCATTTTCCATCGAGAATCTATCGTTTGATTTATTATTTGTTTGTGTGTAAAACCATAGGCTACCACTTCCAGCTTTTATCGAGACGGATTAGGAATCTATCGAGACGAATCAAGAACACATCGAGATTGATTGACAGCTCATTGGGACCGATCGACGCCAATTAAGACCAATCACAACTAATTAAGAACCCATCCATTTCCTTGGTGTGTGGTTGTATATTAAAATCATAACATAACACCTTTATTTTTCATTGAGATCGATTGAGAACCTATTGGTTAATTTGTAGTGTGTTTGTTTGTGTAAAGCCATAACCTACCACTTTTTAATTTTTATTAAGATGGATTCAGAAATCTATCGTGACAAGTCGGGAACTCATCCAGATTAATCGATAACCCAATAAAGAAAAAGAAACAAAAACTAAAACATGTAGAGTTGAAACTGTAGTATATTTATGATGAATATATTATGATAAATATCATACTAATATAAATACGAGAGAGTTATTGTATACACATGATCATACATAAATATTTATGATGAGTAGTATGCATATTCATTATGAATGTTAGAATGAAAAAGTATATTCATGACGAATATCATTCCAATGTATGAATGTTGAAAAATTGTTGTACACAAGTGAACATATACAAAAATTCAATATGAATAGCATGTGTATCAATGATGAATGTTATAGTGAAATTGTATATATCCATTACGAATATCATACTGATGTATGAATGTTGAAAAATCACTGTATACACATGAACATATATAAATATTCATGATGAATAATAAAAAAATATATATTCATTATGAATACTATTTATATTCATGATGAATATAAATAATGAAAATCTATATTAATGATGAATGTCACAGTGATGTATAAATACTAAAGATTTGTTGAATACACGTGAAAAATACATAACTATTCACGATGAATGTTATTTTAGTTGTATCTTCGTGATAAATATCATACTAATGTATGAATATTAAAAAGTTGTTGTATATATATGAACATGCATAAATATTCATAAAAAATATTACACAAATATACTATTTGATGTAGAAAACATAAAGAAATATATATCGAGTTTGATGTCAAGTCGAATTTAGTTTAAAAATTACGGGGGTAAAAGTTTTTCTATTAAAAATAAATAAAAAGTCAATTATAGTAAGCGTAAATCCTAACTTCCATTTTTCCCCTAGTCACTTCTCAATTAACCTTTTTATGCTTTATCCATTGATTAGTTTTCTATATTTGATCGATGGTCAAGATTTGTCTTCATGTTTACAAAAAAAATATGATTTTCATTTGAACCTACCCCTATACATCTATCATCTTCTTCCAAATTATCATCTTTCTACCACTACGGGACAATAATTAACCATTTGGTAAATATTTGATTCTCATTGTGTCATGTCATCATTTTAAAGTTTTAAAAATGAAATATTTAACTATTATATTGAATATTTAACCATTACATGAAATATTATCTAATCTAAATAAAAAATAACTATTTAACCAAAAATTTGATCAAAATTTGGATATACATTCAAACTATATCTTATCATTTATACAGTCACTTATACTTTCAACTTTTCACTTTTATTTTCAACGTAAGACAATCAAAAATTCACCACAATTCACCATTTGATAAATATTTGATTTTTATTATGTCATGTCATATATATATATATATATATATATATATGTAGTCGATATAACGTAACGAAGTCAATTAGTAGAGCCTCTTTCTTTTACCACTAAATTATATAAAAAGAAATACCCTCCATTGTCGTTTTGCCTACTTTCTAATCTATATATACACACACACCACACACACACTTTTCTACTTACCCAACACTTCAAACACAAACTGTTTTCTGGGATATTACAGAAAAAAGCATCAAAAGATGGCATTAATTCTCTTCCTTGGTTTGTGTCTCCTTCTCCAAGTAGCCACGGGTAAATAAATTTTTGCTTTGCAGATAGACTAGAGTCACCGTATTTGAACCTTCGTGGTCATAAGGAGATTTTTATTTCTCATTGGATTTGAACTTGGGACCTCCTAGTACTTTTGACCTTTGGAGTCAAGTTCAAACCAATCAGGCACCATCCTTGTGGTTCTTTCCTCAGTCTTTTTATAATTCTCGGTTATGATTAATTGTTGAACAATATTCATTGTTTAGGGGAAATTATGTGCGACGAATTGGCTGGTGCAAAATGTAGCTTCTCGATTGCATCTTCAGGAAAGCGATGCGTATTAGAGAACTACGTACGAAACAACGGAAACGTGGAGTATCAGTGCAAGACTTCGGAGATTCATGTTAAGAATATGAAAGAATGGATCGAAAGCGATGAGTGCACGAACGCATGTGGGGTTGATCGCATGTCCGTAGGGATCTCCTCTGACTCCCTTCTCGACCCGCGTTTCCTTTCCAAGATTTGTTCGAGTTCTTGCTACGAAAACTGCCCCAATATCGTTGATCTCTATCACAACCTCGCCATTGGAGAAGGTAACACTTTTAATAACATATGTATATATAGGGGTGGGAATAATGGAAACCAACTATTCATTATGAATAATGTTCTTACATAATAATCAAGCATATTATTCATAATGAATAATTTGTTATTCATCATGAATAGCTTTCACTATTCAACCTTATTCATTATGAATAGTTGGTATACACACATGGTTCCACATTAAGTTTCCACTTTGATTTTGTTAGGTGTATTTCTCTCAAATCTTTGTGACGTACAAAGAAGGATGCCACGCCATGCAATGACTCAACTCTTAAGTTCTGGAGCAGCATCAGCTCCCACCTCTGCTGCAATGGCAGAAGCTCCAATGGCAGAAGCTCCATGCTCTAATACTTGATTCAGCCTAAGCATATACAGTTCATTCAGGTCATGTAGCTTACAAGATCGTTGTAGTACGTATATACGAAACAAATATTTATGTAAAAATTAAGACGATATAATATACGTGATATATTGAGAAATCGGGGTTTTAGAAGCCTCTCCGTCTGTGTGTCGTCTTTTGGCACGCTTCCCGAGGTTGGATTCGGGGTTTTTTTTCGTTACGAGTATACGATGTTGTGAAATTCCTGTATAATACAAGATCGACCATGTAGAAAATACACAACACTAAAGAAACTCGTTAGTAAACCACAAGGATGGTGACTGATTGGTTTGAGTTTCGCTCCAAAGGTCAAAAGTACTGATGTCCCAGGTTCAAATCCAAGGAGGAATAAAAATCCCCTTGTGGCTACGGAGATTTAAATGCGGTGACTTCGGGCTATCTGCAAAACATGTGGTCATCCTGAAATTAGTCGGCTCGCATAGCATGTTGGATATCGAGGTTAATAAAAATAAAATAAAAAACTCGTTAGTAATAAAGGAGGAGTTTGTTGATCATTAAGACACGGGGTTGTAACAAATGTAGCACACTACAACGAAATTAATTTATATATATATATATATATATATATATATATATATATGGGAAATGTCTAAGCGTTTTAATAAAATGTTTTATATGATTAAAAAGTAAAATATCATATCTAAAAGTGTTACAACAGGTTTACTAGACGTTTTGAGATATTTGAACAAGTTTTATTTAGGGCTTTTATAATTAAAATGTCATATTAACAATTTTATAGGACATTTTTTAGAGGTGTTTTTTATACCTATCTTTTTATAGAACACTATTCAAATAATATTATATAAAATAGCTAATGCAACACTTTATTTTAAAAATATTCTAAAATCATATCAAAACGACTAAAAACATCATACACCTAATGTAACACTTTTAAATCAAACGCTTTATTATTTGGTCCTATAAACTTAACCTTACAATTAAACATACACTTTCCTGACATTTTATTAGTCTTGAGCGAGATGTAAAAAAGGCCCCTGAATAAGTAGGAATTTTTTCAATTTTTTTTATTATTATCATAAATAAATTGAATTTATAAAATACTAATAATTCATATAAAATCATTTTTTCAAGTATTTCTAAACGCAAAATCAATCAATAATTACTTCTAAAGTAATATTATATATCATATCATTTTTACATAGCATCATAAATTCATTCCACAGTCACAAGTACATTATATATATATATATATATATATATATATATATATATGAACGATCAAATGAAAACCACCCTCATTTGTACAAACCACTCTCATACGTCGATTTCATTGTTTAATCTTATGAAATTTTTTCATGAAATTGTTTAATCTTGTGAAATTGTTTCATATAATACTTTTTTTGATGAATTTGTTTCATATATGGTTATGAAATTGTTTCATAAAATATTTAATGAAATTCTAATGATACTGTTTCATATATTTCTCTAAAATTAAAATAATGAAGATGATAATATTCATGATTAACACCCTCCACAATAAAAATGGTCAATCAACCTTTCATAATTACAAAAAAAATGAACAAAATGAAAAATTATGATTGGTTGAGTGTGGTTTTCACGGTTTGTACAAATTGTGTGATTTTTATTTGAACGCTCCCCTATATATATATATATATATATACACACACATTTAATATATAGGTTGGCATCATTTAGGTCACAATGTCGACTATTCAAAGTAATATTTTTATATAAATCAATATATGTGAATTGAGTTTCCATATCACATCATGTTAATGTTTCCATCACTATTTTAAACTTTCAGGGTTAAAACAAACTTTTAGAAATGACCAGTCTTAGAATCAAAATTTCATCTTGGTTATAACTTGAGAGCTTATTCTTGTTTTAGAGATAAAAAAGTACTTAAAATTCATGCATTTAATATTAGTTAATAAAGAGTCAATAATGCATGATAAAACAAGAGTAGTTTTGAAATCTTTAATATAGTTTTAAGCCCTTAATATAATGATAAATTATGTTTGGGTCAACATCAAATACTAAAAAAAATTGTGTCTATTTTATTTACTATTTTTTTTTGAACTAATATATATATATATATATATATATATATA